ATTCCAACATGTGTACATTTCCCCTAGTCCAGTTGATAATACTATAAAATTATCTTCAACAGATAATACCACATTTCTTTGTCCCATTAATGCTTTGCCTATTTTACTTCTGAATGTTCTTCCTCAGACTCTACTCTTTCACACACAGTATATCTGGTATTTACATCCATTTACTGTGGCTTGTATTTTTTAAGAGTTATTTTATTGGGGACGAGCAGGTGGCGTGGTAGTTAAGGGGCTGGACACTCCCACATGCTAACCATGGTTAGAGTCCCGAACCTGGTGGCTTTCTCTCTCTCTCTCTGTCTGGGGGAGGGGGGTGTCAAATAAAAATAAATAAATGAATAAATAAAATTAAATAATTAAAAAAAGAGTCATTTATCTTTATTTATTTTAATTTGACCAAAGAGGGCGGGGTGGGGGGGGTGGAAGTAAGAGAGCAAGCAGGCAGTTCTGGGATTCAAAACCATGGTATTTTAATACAGAATTTAAGCCAAAGTATTAGGCCAGTGGTTTTCGACCAGGTATGACTTCACTTTTGTACCTGTCCCCATCAGGAGCCATTAGGCAATGCCTGGGACATTTTTGGTTGTCACGAATAGGGGCCGAAAGGGTTGATCTGGGCATCTAATAGACCAGCATCGCCTCTAAACATCCTGCCATAGGCAGGACAGCCTTCTGAGATCATAGGAAACTTGCATTGACCATCTCAGGACAAAGTTACTTTGGGGAAAATGTCCTTTGAAAACCACACACAAACACATGAATCACCACTTCTTTTTCAGATTGTACAAGTTGGTGTGGGAAATTTCTAGAACGGATGATGGAATCCTAGAGAGACAGTGAATAGCTCAACTATGGGGTCTCATTGGGGTGCTTGAAGTGCCTGGATGAGCAGATCACCTCCAAAATATAGCTCATTAGGAAAAAGAAAAGAAGGAGGTATCTCTTGCCGATGGAGAGTTATTCCCATTCCTGGCCTTTTATTACTTGGTATAAAAGTTGTAGTTCACACAGTCAGGACACACAGATCTCAGTAAAGGGGCAGGAATCGTGCATGTTTCTAATCAAACTGAGAAAATGTCATTTCAGCCAAGAATGAGCACTTCCAGGGAAAGCAATAATTCAGAGAAGTCTATGGGAGTGGGGCAGCTGCTGTGAAGAGACACTGAATTTAGAAACACTGCCAAAGCATGCTAGTGCCCACAGGGGGCAAGCACTTGGATGGTACCCACAGGGAAACACAGGGTGAAAATCTGGAATAATTTCCTCAGTCCTGAATATAAGCCTTACCTATTCATTCTCAAGAATAGTTATCAGTACGGTGAGTCAGTCACCTTCTCTGAAAATCTTTACAACTTGAAAGATGCCTCTTGATCAAGCTGTGTTAAGTGTGGTCCTGAGAAAAGACAAGGGAACAGTTCCCATAACCTGCAGGGATTTCTTTTCACCAGAGCGTTTGGCAAGACTACCATGAGTTTAAAATAACAAAGTTAACGCTGGAAATTTACTTTATTATGTTTTCATTTCACAGAACATGTAGACTTGTAAATAACAATAGTTCTTTGTAACAATCTGCGTGACGCTTTTATTAGCTTGTGGAAGTGGGAGGTTTGGTTAAACAGAAATCCATGTGAATATCAGGGGGAAAAAAAGCTAGAGCTGGAACAACTATGATTTATAAAAATAATGATCATGTTGGGCTTTGCACCTGCCACCTTGCTGATCCCCAGAAAAATGTAAAGAACATTCTCATGGATGAGTGCAAATTTGCTCTGCTTGGGTAAGGAGAAGGTCAAAATCAGCATGCCTTAGCTGTCAGCTCACACCAGTGCATTGATTTTCAGAAGTTCAGCACAGACCTGACAACAGCGATTTAGCAGTTTTGGAACCAGTGAGGTCTATTTGTTGATCACTCTTTTAAGATAAGGAAACCCAGGCTGAACTACAGTCAACAGACAAAAAAAAAAAAAAAAAAAAAGGTTCTGGTCCATTGGACACCTCTGAGCTTTTATTTTGAGAGTGGGCAAGAGGGAAGATGAATGTTTTTCAGCTGAGCGAGACAGCAGCAGCCCCGGGCCAGCCTTCAATAACTGAGAAGTAATAACAGGATCCTGACCTGAAAATGCCGCCAAGCAGGGCGCGTGCACGGTCATGTTGGCTGCTCCTGAGTCAGCCCTGCTTTAGGTCTTACTGAGTCCATATAATGTTCCTTCATAAATTAATAGGGCCCAGAAACGTCCATGGAAAACTGGGTTTTCTGACTTTAAAGCTACCTTTTCTAAATCAGAAATGTGATACCTGACATTTTTTCAATACCTGGTTTTTTCAAGCTTTGTAATCATTCTAATAAAAAGGAATATAGTATGACAATTTAAATATACTTTTTGAAATTAATGTTGGCTGCCTCACACAGAGCTACACAATAGCAATGAAAAATCTGAGACCCAAGGAAGGGCTGGGTAGTAGTGACAAGGGAGCTACAGCAAGAGGAAGGGTGGAGGTTACCAACAAGGGCAGAGCAAGTCACTGCTCATCATCACACAGCTTGGGCTGTCACCTGGCAAGAACCACCTGGCTCTGTCCTACTCAAGTTCCTTTCTACCAGCTGGCCCTACCCAGATCAGCATCTCAGCTGCTTATTTCAGTTTGGTGATACTTGGATAAAGAAGAGCAGGTAGCTAGTGTTCTTGGGTACCCCATGCTTCCCCCATTTCTGTCTTGTGCATCTATAGTCCAACAACACACCAGCATCCTCATGCTGGAGGGGCACAGAGTCAGAGCTGAGTGTAGTCACACCCTGGGGTCTCTTGTGCTTGAATTTGAACTATTGAAGGGATAGATGGGTCTCCTAAGTCAGGCCTTAATTCCACCAGACTGAAAGGGGCTGTCCAGAGCACTCTAACTAAAACACATGTTGACCCAGTGTGTTCTAAGAACACAGACATGCATAGGTCAGCATTATAAACTAATTTAGTGAAGCAAATCTGTCGAACAAAGCAACTCATATGCTCAGTATCAGAATCAAACGTAGAATATATCTGTATTCTAGAAAACTCTACTGAGTTAGTCAAGAATCGACTGTGGGAACTTTTCAGGAACTACAGAAAATTACTGGGCATTATTTTGGTCGGGTCTAGAAAACTTCAATTTGTAATATAAGTTTTATTCAGAGGGAATTTGTAGAGATATTTGATCTGAATGAATTTTCCCATTATTTTATTTTGATGAATTCATGCCATCTATTCCCTTACAAGCCTCGATTAAGTTTAGTGTTTTTTTAAGTCTAGAGTGCTGAGGTACTATGAAGTTCTGAAGAAAGTGAGTTTGAAATGAGCTTTACCTGTTTTATTCTATTGTTTTTCAAATAATAGAAACTTTCTCTTTCAGAAGGAAAAATCAAATAAAAATATTTCACTCTCTAATGTCTCCTTAGTGGCAGACCCACTGCCAGCTGCAATGCCTGCCATAGTCTCCCTTATAAATTAGCATAATTTATTCACGTTTCTACATAGATATGCTTATTCCTTTGCTCTTTAATAGGGGGAAGCATGTGAGCATAAAAAGTTAGATCTAGGGACCAGCAGATGGCTGTAATGGTTATATCACTGGTCTCCCATGTAGTCAACCGCAGTTCAAGTCCTGAACCCAGTGGCTTGAAACTCATGCCAGGAGCATGTTCGTGCGTACCCCAAATCTCAAGAGGAGAACAGAGGAGAAGGGACTGCAGTATGGCCATCCCCCCAGGGGGGTGATTTCTCACTTTCTGTCTCTGTGTCTCTCTGGTGAGTGCACGTGCACTACAGCAAAAATCTCTGTCTCTTAAAAAAAAAAGTTAGATCTCAACATCCTAGGAATAGAAATCAGTGGTCATACCAATGGAAACTAAAATTATTTAGACTCCACTGAGTAAATTCTGAGAGAAATTAGTTTCATTCAATGAATGAATGAAGTACTTCATTTCTCAAATACTCTTAGACTGTGGTCCTATCAGTGATGGAGCACTAGGGTAATGGCTGACATCTGTACACATCCTTATCTCTTGGCCTTAGTTCCCCAAACTGAGGGGAATGAAATGTCCTCTAACATCATTTCCAATTCTATTTATATCTGTGGATTTATGGTTTCAAAATTGAATTAGCAGAAAGAAGGGTTGTGGGCCTTGGGACCCCCATGAGAGGGCCATCATCCTCCCATGAATGAACTTGCACCAAGCTTTAGCAGAACTGAAGACTCAGCAGCTATCTATTTGCCAGGCCAACCCCGTACTAAGCTCAGAGCATCTACTGTCATGCACCACTGTTCTCACCTTCTGAACCCACAGAATAAAAAAAAGAGCCACTCTGGGATAATTAGACAACAGCTTGGGGTTTGAGAGTGAGGGAAAGGGGATGAATGCTGTTGTTTTTAAGAGAGTTACAAGAAGGGCCAGAAGATGGCATAATGGTTAAGGTGCTGGGCACCCACACGGCCAACCACAGTTAGAGTCCTGGACCTGGTGGTTTGAAACTCACTCCAGGCACATGTGCATATGTGCCAAAAATCCCAAGAGGAGAATGGAGGAGAAGGGACTGCAGTATGGCTATACCCTCTGGGGGGTGATTCCTCACTTTCTATCTGTCTGGTGAGCATGCCCACCCCAAAGCAAAAATCTCTCTTAAAGGGAGGAGGGGCACTAGGAGACAAATGTCAGTCATGACAACATACTCCAGGTTCCAGGTTGTCTTCCATGAGCCTCCAACTAAATGATCTACTGCAAAGCAAGGAGAGAGAACCTGAAGGCCAAAGTATTAAAGTATGAGCAAGCACCAATGATTTGATACCAGATACATATAAGAAAATATCCAGTTAGTAAATATAGCTCTGTGAGGAAACTGTATTTGGAACAAGAACCAAACAAGTTCTTGTACAAGGCTGCGAGAAGTAATTTGGTGTATTTCACCTTTCTTTCATTTATATATATATATATATAAATAAAATGGTTCAGGCAGGCTCTCCATTTCCCCCTCAAGTCATCTCTTGGCTGATGGCAAAAGCCAAGCAATATTTGCATTCTGATGTTCCCATAATTACAATTGGATCTTTTAAATATGGTCTCCAAGTTATGGTTTGTTTGTAATATAATATAGTAGGAATGCCAACGTTATAAGCGAGGCTATGTGTCATTTGCTTTAGGGTACAGTATCACAATCTTGTAAGCATCAAACACATATATTTTGAATGTGCTTGAAGGGTGGTGGGCAGTAGCTGATGTGCCTCAGCATACGAGGCCAACTTCTCCTAGGCATCTGCTTATGGTAAAGGCTGTCTGAGGGATGTGCTTGCTCTAGAACCTTTCCATCAGCATGTTAGCTTGCTAGTTTTGTTATCAGAAAAGTTTTCATTCTCAAAGTCATTTCAGTTACAAAATCCCATGGGTCACATGCAAATAGCAGATAGGTATTTTATTATCCCTTTTTTCTTTATCTGTACAGACATATTTTCTGATATTCCACTTAATTATTTTCTAGATTTTCACCCAATAGTTACAGTATACTGCCAGACTGTCAGTCTTCTTTCTAATGCTCTTCTGATCCTACTTAAGAAGGAAGTCTTGTTCCCTAAAGATTCTTTATATCCAGGTGACAGGGATGTAAAACAATCACTTTCTGAGGCATTTACTACTTCAAAGATTCAAAACACTACTGCACCAAAGTACACATTCCCACCTTGTCATAACAGATTTTAATATGTAAGTAAATGCTTTGAAAATATGTATTTTAAACCTGAAGCTTATTGAAAGTCATCTTTCTTCAGACAACTACTAATTACTCCTAAGAGCAATGGTGATGAAAATCACTTAAAGACCAAGGTCTTTTCAAGAAGTGAAGTTAATGCAGTGGCAGCTGATTTTGCTTTTTTACCTCCTGGAGAGAAATATGGAACTTCTTAATTGTGAGCATTTGTTGGACGATATCAAGAAAGCTCTTTTGAGACACTTTTTTCTGCTTGGCCAGTTGCTCTAGAAAGAGGAAGAGTCTAGGTGGGTGAGATAGTGATTGAGTCCTCCAGCTATACCATCTAACAGTCTGTCATGGTATCTCCAAAGAGAACTCACCAGGGAGAGAGGCAGCCCCTAAATGCTGGGAGAAGGATAGATTAGGGTATGCTTTACATGAAGCATGTGTCCCCCAGTCCTGGGGCCCCAAAAACGGAGAGGGGGGCTTCTGTGGAGAGGGCCACATGCCCTAGGAAATTTTCCTCTTGGGAAGAGCCCAAAGGTCCAGTGTCCTTGAAGATCCAATGAAGTCCTTGTAGAGGGGAGAAGGATGTTGACTTCTGCTGGGGTCATGCGGGGGTTGCCCAGTCGGCACTCTTGGGGGCCTTGCATGTGTGCACATCTAGGGCCTCCAGGCAGTCCTGACAGCGCACAGCACAGCACCAGTGGAACTTACACTCACACTTGGTCATCCTTGTGATGCGGGAGGTGTCGTAGCCTCTCCCACAGCACATGACTTCACAGCTGTCCATGCCTCGGGAAGTCAGGTTGCACACACGGCCTGCTGTACCCAGGGAGCCTGGAAGACAAGTCAGGGAAATGTCATTGAAAACGCTTAGGTAGAATATAATATGCCTTGGGAACAGACAAGTGACAAGGTCTATCTCCAGGGCAGAGTCCTGGCTTCTCCCAACCATAGCCTGGGGTTGTAACACCCACTCTGTGAGCCCCTGTCATGTGTGTCATCCCTCTGCTCCAGCCACAGGGAACATAGAGGGCTGAGTCCAGGGAGGATGGACACAAAACGTTAAATATGTCTTGGGCACTCTGAATCCAGCTGTCTCATTTCTGAGTTGGATAATTTTTTTCAGATTATCCTTATCCAACCGTGGATTGAAGGATCATTGAATGAGTAAGGTTAGATCAAAATGGAAGAAGGATCTATCCTGGTTCCTTCTCTTCTGTTAAGAAAGTGGCCAAAGTTTTAGCTCACCCTAAATTTGTTGGGGGCTAGTTTTGGAACTCTCAATTAAGGGTGAGGGGGATTCTGTCTCCTCAGATCTGATTACACTGGCTTATTAGAAAAAGAATAGAACTCTGGTTGCTAATGGGGAAATCTGGTCTTCATTTGTGGCCACGAGGTGGGAGAAAAGCCCACTATGGTTTAGATGTTAGGATTACTACAGAACTGTATGCTATGTGCCTGGCTGAAGCCAGGATTCTGGCCTTCAGGGAAAAAGTGGCATCAGAAATCTGTGAGGGGTTGGGCATGATAGCATGTACTATAATCCTAACTAAATGGGAGGCTGGGGTAAGGGATTACAGTGATGAGACCCTGTCAATCATATTCACCCCCCCCCCCCCCCGCCCCACACACCCTTCTCC